GATGGTGCCGGGTCTCTTAGGTGCAATTTGTTGGTATCTTGCAATCTCTAAGATGGTGAAATGCCCTGTATTCAATTTTATGATACTATTCTGTTTCTACTTGCATAGCCGTTGACCTCATTTCTTGATATCATTGCATATGCCTGTCCATTGACCCAATTTCTTGGTATCCACTATTGTCTGCATGCATCTGTCCCTGTCCCCAATTCTGCCGAGAATATAGTTTGTTCGGATGTATGTTGTGAGCGTGACCACTGTCCACAACCTCGTTACTTGCATTTTGCAAGCGCGACCATAGTCCATTGTCTTTTCCAGCCACCATCATGGGTCGGAAGGCTAAATACCTGACCATCGCCGAGAAACTAGCTGCCAAGAGAGATCGACAAAAAAAATATATTCACTCTAATAAGTCAGTAGTTTCAGTAGTTTGACACAGACAGCATGCCGACCACTGAACAACATGTTGTAGAGGGTGCAATACATGATCACAACAGAATAAAATGGCTTACCTAGCAAAGCAAATGGAGAAGAATGCCTGCCCATTCCCTTGCAGACTGATAGGAATACCACAAGAAATCATGGCATACGCCCGCCGTCCATTCAGCACAGACCGTACCTTAGGAGATGGCAATAATCTTGGCCTATGGAGTCCTCCGTATCAAATGATAATCCCTGCTGATTGTCTCAAACAATCAGACAGTGAGCACTTATTCGACGTATCAGATGACGAGGATTCCCTGGCTGAACTCGCAGCCGATCTCCACCTTCAACAACTTTTCCATGTAATGAAAGCTGGATATTTGTGACACAATAGGTGGTCTTCATGTGATGGAGACATACGGAGAGAGCTGAAGGTGGAGGAGGTCATGAAGGAGCTGCAGGTGAGGATAGAAGCTTGGAAAGATGATGAACGGCTGAGCGAGGAGTTCTCGAGAGCTAAGATAGCCTGTGCAGTAGGACTGAAATGGGGGACAAAGGCTGTGTGTTGCCTGGCTATGGAGTTGAGCTTGCTCAAGGGGAGCAAGGATGGACGCATGTATGATGGACAGTATGAAGAATGTAGTCTAGCATGGCAGCGACTCAGAGCATGCAAATAGTAGACTTACACTTTCATTGTGGCTGGGCTCGTCTTGTGGCTGAGATAGCTGCCTCCCCTACCGCATTTTTGAACCCTCCCACCCTCCAAATCATTGTAAAAATTTGACTCATAGCATTTATAGCATCTGAATTCCATCAAAATACACTACAGACTCTTAATTAATGCCAACAGAGCACAGAGAAACCTGTGTGAGGCAAGCATCATAAATTCAGTATGTTCTGTATGTGCCTTCTCATTGGCTGAAAACATACACGTGACCTGCATGAGGAAAGAGCAAAGTCAGTATGTTCGTTATACTCCTTCTCATTGGCTGAATTTATGCACGCGACCAGCGCGAGGCAAGTGTCCATTATACGCTTTCTGATTGGCTGAATTGTAGACATGTGATGTATTTTTTTGAGCAGAGTTTGTCAATTTGTTGTGTGCAGGTGGCCAAACTTTGTGGAAGCATTGCTCGGTCCTCGTTGTCATATGTTGATACGTCCCATGGTACGTCTCATTCTCATTCTTAATTCATGACAGAGTCTCAGCTGAATATATGCATAGGTTTCAAGTGAGGTATTTTTGTTCCAACGGTGTATTGATGTGTTTGACTGATATTTTCTCGTCAGAGTATGTAGTATTCATTCTATGGCAACTTCTATCATGCACGCTTTGGCGAAAAATACGTTAGGGCACACCTATTGACGCGTTCAGTCTGTGAGTCTTCTCTTGTATTATTCCAAGTGCCGCTGATTGCTAGAGAGAGCAAACCATCACACTTTTCTGTGCATGGCGCGTTGCCGCTGTCAATCACTACGTGAATATAAGTAAGCCCATTTATTGCCCAAATTTATTTATGCTCACTGGATTAGCCAGGTCGAACTCTTCATAGGTCCACTAGCTCATGGTTTTCTATTGCTGTTAGGCTGATATCAGCCTCATTGCAAACGTGAGGGGATGGCCCTAATACACACGAGGTACGTCGTATGTTGTTCTCATCATATGATTGCTGTGGGCTTACAGAAGCACACTATAGCCTTACTCTATGTGTCTCGGCATCACCCAGCTAGGTAACTCCTTTTATTCTAAAACAGACATGGAAGCTTTGCATGCAGGGCAGATGACCTCAACGTCTGTGGCGGGCTCACAATCCAAAACCACACCTTGCACAACTTGCTTATCTGAGCTGACACACATCAATGTGGTCACGACAGACATTTATTGGTGCATGCAAAACATTCTGCATGTTCTTAAGGAACCAGCTCACTAAAGATGCCCCACCCTTCCCTTCACTGTGCCAGTCTGTGAATAACCAGTCTCACAATGTCCAAGTGACAGCGACGCCAGCGCGATCGCAACATCAACTACTATTCTCATTCTGACAACAAGGATGACGGAGCACCACAGTCATCCTCATCTCAAGTTCTCAACTGGCACATCGACTACTCGATGTGTGACAATCATCTCTCAGTGCACACCTCATACGTAGCTACCGATGCCCCTCCACCTCCACCCTCCCTCCCTAAGATAGAGGAGAGTACCAGCAGCATACCTGAACTTGAAGATGACCCTGTTGCTGACCTCTTTCAGGACAAGCATGCCTTCATGGATGTCAATATTGACTACATTCATGAGCTTGCCGACATGGACGAGGGCCAGAAGCGGCAATGCTGCACCGCAGGGGTACGCTCTTATTTTTATGCAAACTCACTCACATTTTGGTGATATACATATGCTTGCAGGATCATCCATTGTGTGAATGGATTTCACATCGAGACGACTGGCTAGCAGAGATCTTGCATCATGAAGGCCGATGTGGATACACTGCAGAGTTTTGTCCCAGATGCCATACGAGCAAGGTCAAAATTCGTTGCCTAGACTGTGATGACGTAGCTTTGTACTGTGAGTCCTGTATCATTGAGACTCATCACCTGAGTCCATTCCATCAGATTAAGGTAAGTTCATGATGACTGTCTTGATGTGCGAGTGCTGACATGCTGTCTACAGGAATGGATCAAGACACATTTTCGACGGAAGACTCTTAGACAAGCTGGACTCTGCATCCAACTTGGCCATCCCATTGATGAGCACTGCGGAAGGCCTCAGCCAGCATGGGATGATGATTTCATCATCCTAGACATCTCTGGCATCCATTCAGTAGGGCTGGACTTTTGCAGCTGTGAGTGCGCACTCATGCATGATGTTCAGCTGTTGCATGCACGTCTGTTCCCAGCTACCAGCAAGAATCCAAAGAGCACAGCAACTTTCTGACTCCTCGAACATTTTCATGTGCTATCAACCCAAGCTAACGTCTCCGGTTTTCATTTTTATGCCGTGCTCGAACGCCGTACCGACAATACCAGCATGAACCCTCCTCCTGTAAGTATGCCCTTTGTCCATGTAGTTTACCTGGTTGACGTGCTGCTCAGGGTCGTTATTCTGCTTTCATGCAGATGATGCATCAGTGGAGGCATCTTAAGCTTATAAAACATGTAGGACGAGGACACGATCCTGACGGCATATCTGCGACACCTCCAGGTGGCTGCACTGTACTTTGCCCGGCATGCCCACAACCCGGCAAGAACCTTCCCAAAGATTATGAGCAAGCACCTCCTGAACGCACGTAAGTGCTGATTACTCAATCATTTCGCATTCACACTGATGTATTATATTGCAGATGGCTGTACCGACTGTTCATTGGCATCAATGCCAACTTTCAGCTCAAGAGAAAGAAGGTTTTGTCTGATGAACTTGACCCCGGTCTCAATAATGGATGTGCCTTCTTTGTCGAGGAGAAGGCATACAAAGATCACATCAAGATGTTCAGTGCAGCTATCAAGGAAGAGTCAAGCACTTGCAACGATCATGATGCAATCAAACTCGCAAATATCAAGAGCACTCAAGGCACTGCTGCGAGTGGCGTGGGGATGGTTGAGTGCACAAGACATGATATGAAGCATCCATGCTCCATTGGTGATTTGCAGAAGGGAGAACGGTACGCATTTCTGCAATCGCCATATTTTATTTCGCTGATGGCGTCTGAATAGATATGTCAATATGGACTACCTGTTCATAAGTAGCATGGACCAGAATGCTCCAGTGGCCATGGTTGCCTCATACAACATTGCATGCCAATGGTCCATGCATCTATGGAAACGTATGATGCAATACTCGCCGACATTTGATCCCAATAAACGTGAGATCACATTTCTGATCCCCAAGTTTCACCTTCCAGTGCATCAGCCTACTTGTCACCTCAACTTTTCCTTCAACATCACCAAGCACATCACCCACACTGATGGAGAGACACCAGAGTGCGGCTGGGCTGCTGTGAGTCTGTTCGCATCGAGTACGAAGGAGATGGGCCCCGACTCCCGACATGACCTCCTCGATGATGTTTTCGGTGCATATAACTGGAATAAGGTCTGCAAACTTGATAAGGCTGCCCGCTCTCAGTCCGCATACTGCCCAAATTGATAGTTCCCCTACAGCCGAGTCATTGCTGACAAAAGTTAAGCATGCGGTCTCTGAGCGTAATGAACAAACTGCGGCCTTCGAGGACCTGACCTCATCCTTACCAGCTTCTCGTGTAGCCAAGTGGAAAGCAGCCATTGAGGCATGGGAAGAAGACAGGTCCAGTGCCAATCCATTTAAAGTGAAGCGACACAGTAAGTCACTTGCATGATTCATAATAAGTCTGGCCTAATCTCAGTGTGCAGAGATCACACAAGCCAATGTCTGGCTTCAATTAGCGGAGGAAGATGCTACATTATTGCAAGAGGGAGGCACTCTTAAGGTTCATGACAAAATCAGCCCAAGTATCATGATTATGTCAGGTCTGGAGCTCGAGGAACAACAGTATGTATCACAATTTTGTACGAGCTAATGCTGACATTGGTATGTCAGGTGACACCTCCGCCATGACATGGCACAACTTGGGCAGCACTCAACCGACCTTCAGCGTGCGAAGATTATCGAACATTGTAATGCCCTCCAACACTGACTTGATACCTGGATTGAGATACAGCATATGTACAGGCCTGCCGTCGCCGTCCTTCATTCCCGGTCATCATCTGAGGATCACGCCCGCAGTGTCCTGAACACCCCACTATACCTCCCATCTCAGACCTTCGAAGAGTGCCCATGTCAAGATAACCTCCTACTTTGCTATGAATTCTGGCTGCAGCACGCACAAGCTCATGAGACACTAGAGAACCTGCATCATCATCTGTGACTGAGGAGCCACCTTTATTCGTTTAAGGACCGCTTCATGTGTGGACAACACTACAACACATGGATGCATGCCATCATAACCACTGTCCAAGACAAAATCAATGCAGATGTCATTCGGTACCAGCATGCATGCACCGCTCTGGAGGTACTCACCATTTCAGCCAGTGATTCGAGCTGGAAGGCTGAGTTGCGCCCTCTCGAGAACTCTGACATTCAGGGCATGATGGAGGGCTTGTTCGATGAGAGTGAAGGATGGCGGACACTCTCGTGGATCTGGTGTACTGCAGGAGTTGGCCAGCTGGACAGTGCGAGTGAGGACGAGGGTATACAAAAAGGTATGTCATAAAGATCTTACATTATGTCCTCTAGGGCTGATACTCTTTTGTCAGCACTGCAAGTCAAATGGTGCAAGGCACGTGCACGCGCACAGTGCTGGACTGAAGAATGTGAGCTCCTGGTAGAGGAAATGTGATGAGTTGTCACTTTTCACAAGCATCATGCGAGTTGGTGGCTGGAGCAAGTAGATAGGAAGGAAGGGGAGACAGAGAAGCATCGAGAAGGCATCATGGTGTACGCTATGCACCAGATGGAATTGCGCACAACCATGGGCGCATTCTGCAGCCATGCGTGGAGGTATGTCGCAGAGTGGGTGAAGTTAGATTACCAGATATCTGATTCCTTCAAGAGCTAAGAATGCTATGTATTGCAATGGATTTACTATACATTGAATGAGTATAATAATGCTTGAGCTGGTGCTTCACAAGTCAGTTGGTGAAACAATGTGCAGATGCTTGACACTGAAGTGTAGATTAATAATATATATAAGCTAACTCAGTAGATGATACATGCAGGCTTATGGATCACGGTGAGCCTGCATCCTCAATGCGATGATTCATTGCCACTCGAGCTGTGGTGATATATCCTTGCATGGCGGGGATGATACATCACAGCTGGAATGGTGATGTATCGAGTGGCCCTGAACAGTAAAAGTGAAAAGTGATACATCGCCGCTTGAGCTGTGGTGATATATCCTCACGTGGCGGGGATGATACATCACAGCTGGAATGGTGATGTATCGAGTGCCAGTGGGCCTGAACTGTTAAAGCAGAAAGTGATACATCGCCGCTTGAGCTGTGGTAATATATCCTCGCACAGCGGGGATGATACATCACAGCTGGAATGGTGATGTATCGAGTGGGCCTGAACGGTCAAAGCGGAAAGTGATACATCACCGCTTGAGCTGTGGTGATATATCCTTGCATGGTGGGGATGATACATCACAGCTGGAATGGTGATGTATCATGGCAGGCATGATCACTGAATTTGGAAGGTTATAACCACTCACAAGTAAAAATGCCATGCACAATGATGCACAGAAGTGAATACCAGGAGGGGAAGAGTGGGGCAGTGGAAGCACACGTAAGGAACAGCTGAGGAGGTGGTCATGAAGGCATGTTGAGCAATAGATTGTCGGCAACCTGCATAGCAAATGTGCAGGAGAGATCAAGCATTCTGATGGGAAGGACGGAGCGACGAAAAGCAGGCTATCCCAAGAGAAGCCAGGAATGATGATGGAGAAGTCAGGCACGATAATGCAGAAGCAAATATGAGGAGGGGAGAGCGGGGCAGTGGAAGCGCATGTGATGGAGAAGCCAGGCACCATGACACAGAAAGCGAATACCAGGAGGAAAGGAGTGGGGCAGTGAAAGTGCATGTGAGCAACAGCTGGGGAGGTGGCCAATGATGCCGTGCTGAGCAATAGATTGTCGGCAGATTGCGTAGTGGATGTGCAGGTGAAAGGAAGCATCCAGATGGGAAGGATGGAGTGACAGCAGGGTCTGGTGCAGGTGGCTGTGTCGAGGGAAGCCAGAAACATTGATGGAGAAGTGAGGCTTGATCGTGAAGAAGCTAAGCAGAGAATCGGGAAGGGCAGGGCAGCAGCAATGATGCAACTAACAATGACGTACCGAAGCGAACTGTGAAGAGTTAAGAAGATGATGGTGGGTGGTCAGAGGCACGGAGGCACAGGAATTCCACCATCAACATGGATGCGTCGAAAAGGGAAGGAGGCTGACAGAGTGGCGCCAGGCCGTGGTTGACCAGGGACTGCTGGAGGTGAAGCGCCGCTACCAAAATGGGTGGGTGCTGCAATAGCAGCACCATGATGTATCATGCCGAGCTCTAACAATCATGGATAATGTATCACTGATTATGCTGTAATGACAGGAACTGATGTATTATACTGCCAGCCTCTGGTGATCAGTCTGCGAAAGGGACGGAATGTGTACGGTATGTATTGGAACCTGTAGAATGGTCGGAGTGTGCAGAAGGGCGCTCTCAATTGGTCTACGCATGCCGAGCACAAATGTCGACTGGGTCGAGCACTCAGCAGCTGATGTAGGACTGCCGTTGCTTGCGGCAGATGAAGCGTGACTGCATGAGGCATGATGAGGGGTAAGCAGTTCTAATACTCATGAATACAGAGGGACAGACAGATAGTCATGATCGCATAGACACTGCAAGAGAACACTCATCAGTAAGATGATATTTAGCAGCGTCATTGGGGTCCTTACCCACAAGATGTGTATCGAACTCTGCAAACGATGTCAAACATTTTCCGCTTTCTCGTATGTATGTCGATTGCCTGGACATTTCCTCCTTTGACTCGAAAGATGACTTTTAGCATATGCGACATGAACATATTGCTCTTTTATTCTGATTCGTGATGTCCAGCTCATCAGCAAAAAATATTTTGCCATCATGTAGTGTGCACCCAACGCCACATAGCACCCATAGCTTCTGTAGCATGGTCACTGCTATGTAGCCCTCAATATGTCTATATCACCACCTCACGATGCTGCCCGTGCAATGTAGTTGTAAGTCAGATCAAGGTATACCATATGGCTTCATAGTCAATATAGATCTAGTAAATATCGCTGCGGCCCCAGCGTTAGTGAGCTACCATCTTCCTGTCTTGTGGCTGTGCTACAAACGATAGTAGGAAGTAGCTACTACAGGTGAGTATATGCATACTTCCTGTAGTCATTCGCTCTGTTCCCAGGTACTGCCCTGTGATGCTTTAAGCCATCGCTTGGCACTCGTCCCTCCTGACATGTTGAGTGTGTTTCACCAGTCTAAGTGCCTTCGCTCAGCCACTTCCAATGGTTCCACCTTGGAACGTGCTGTCAGTCTCACACTTCCAGCAGTAAGCAATATTCTGCCTTCTGTCGCTACATTCATTGAATAGTGATTCTAGTTAACCCATTGTTGGGGTACCTTGTTCAAGCCTCAAGGTAATGCATGACTCAAATGGGCAGGTAAATGCTTATGAGTTGAGCAAGGTACTAGTAGCAGGAGTAGCGCAACTATCAGTCAGCTGTCATTCAGCGCTCAAGTTGCACTGCCAGCTGCCGGAGGCGTGCTTAACATGGCACCACTTTCATATATTCCAATCATGGAAGTCCGTCTGCCTTAAGCAGTTGAGCTGTAAGTCACATTGACTCTGTCACAGATAAAATATTCGCTGCTCCTCATTCTTCTCAAACTCCTCCCATCACCCCTCCCTACCATGGCTCACCCAGGTCCCCCCAACAGACAGCTCATGTAGTAGCCTCAGTCGCAGTGGCAATAGTGGCAGTCACTTCAGTCCCTAAGTTATGTAGTCTCATCTGCCTTTTTGTCAGGGCACTGGTAGGCCAGGTGTTCCTGACCTTCCCACGGACGTAGCATGCATGAGTCTTTCTCACGCTGGCTGCACTCGCCATTTCTGTTCTTCGGTGAGTGGTCAGCTTCTTGGTCTTCATCTGGCTGACTTGTGCTTTCTCATTCAGGGCCATTGCGAAGACCTTATTGATGGTTGATGTCGATTCATCCCAGTCGGCCTCATCAAGCTTCGCCTCCACGTGGTCAAGCACCTCTTTAAGGCCTAAGATGAAGACTATCATATGGAATTTGTCCAGCGCCTCCCCACAATCGATTTCAGCACCCTCATCAGCCTTTTGACCCTCTGCTCCCAGTCCACTCTTGCACCATTTCCTTGATGCCCGTCTTCGCCTGCAGCAGCGGCTGCCACTGCGTGATTTCTGTCATTAGCCCTCTTCTTGTGTGGATGTCCTTTAAGACAGTCCAGATCACCTTTTGGATCGCAGTAGTCATGGACGTGCTCGACTTGCTCGGCATCCTGGTTCAGGATGATCTCTACCTTTATGCACCTGATGTCACAGAGCTTTCGATCCTTCTTCATCTTCTG